GTAAAGATTATAAAAGCCCATCTATTCTGTCATTAGTGCTAAGTGAATGAAGATCAAATATGATCCTTTGTCTCTGTCTATTCTACCGAGCAACTCAAATAATACCTGTGGACCCTAAATTGTCAATATTTTGGGGGCTGTTTGGTTTGGGTTTTTTTGGTTTTATTTTTGTATTTGCATTTTATATCTATGTTTTTCAGTATAGTTTACTGAGGAGGTGAGCCAGCAATAGTACAACTTAAATCATAAGGGATAATTGTGTTAAATTTCCAAGCAAGATGAGGAGAAAGTAAACTGCTGGCAGCCAGTATATCCAGGTTTTACCCAGAGACTTAATTCTGCCCCTTCTAGTGAATACTAGATAGCTCACACTAAAAGGGTTAGATAGTGGAGATGGCAAAGTGTCCAGCATTTCTTTGGTTGGATTTAACTGATTTACTAAAAGAGTGCCCATAGGGCAGTATGCCAATGTCTAATTAAAAATGTTAAAAATTTAGCACTAACATTTTCAAAGGCAAACCAATATACATTCATAACAGAAAAAAAATTAAAGAGAGGGAAATAAGAGCAAATATCACCCTAAACTTTACCAACCAGTCTGAGTTTTGATGCATTTTTTTCTATTCTTTTTATACCCCCAGTATATAGGTTTTTGTTGATAACTAACTATATTATAGTGTATTATGTGCCATATAAGATAATCTCCCATTTAGAATAAAAATATTTGAATACATTTTTATTTTTATGCTATATTTGTTTTTTGAGATCCCAAAAGTAAATTACATGTTAACTATATAAGGAATATAGCAGAGTTTTAGTTATAGTTAAAACATTTTTAGCTTGAAGGAGAATTTATTCCTCCAGATAGTGATACTTTTCAAAAAATATGCCATCTAGAAATTTTGGTTAATAAGGAATCAGTAAGTGGCTTTGCAATAAAACCTCTGAAAGAAGCAAAATATATGGATCTTTCTGATCATTGGCTACTGACAATTCTAAAATGCTCTGTATTTTAAAAAGCATCAAGTAGATTTTTTTTCCCCTGATTAATCTTTTGTGCATTTGTGATGCATACTGATAGAAAAGTATGACAGCATGATGAAAACTATTTTATGTGAATATGAGGAAGAACAGTTCATCTGAATTTGTTTTAAAAAAAAAAGCATATTAAAATTGTTGGTATTTTCTGATATTCAAGATTGCTACTGCTACTTTCAACTATTTACAGTGACTAGGATTAGTTATTAACCTTACTTTAAGGAACAGAATTTTCAAAACCTAGTTCAGGCTATGTCAGTATTTGATTGTTGTTGGGCTCTTTACAAATCAATGAATACTTTCTCAAAAAGTTTATTGTCACCCCTCCAATACCACTGCAGATAAATTCTAGTTAGTATCTGGAGTAAGATTTACCTTCCAGTTGTAATTGATTTTTCCTTTCTTTCTTTCTTTCTTTCTTTTTTTTTTATCCTCACCCAAGGACATTTTTGCATTTATTTTCACATAGAGGGGGAGGAAGAGAAAGAAATATCAACATAAGAGTGATACATTGAGTGGTTGCCACCCACACCGGGGCCAGGGACAAACTGCAACCAAGGTACATGCCTTTAGTGGGAACCGAACCCGGGATTCTCTGTTCCACCGACCAAAGCTCTAACCACTTAGCCAAACCGGCCAGGGCTGTAATTGATTTTTTAAAAATTGTCAGGCACTGGTTGAACTACTAATGTGTCCCAGATTCTGTGCTCAGCAGCTGGAGGTAGGAGAGAAGTAAGAGTCCTCCCTTCCCTAGAGAAGATTAGGTTTTTATAAGAGGGATACCCTGTAAGCAATTGATACCATGTAACAAGTGGTAACTCAGATGTGTGAATGTACAGAAGAGAAGTTCTGTGGTGTGGCTGCAGGCCAAGGTATCCTGGAGGTAGCTGCAGGAGGAGTTAAGCTCGCTGGGATGGAAGGAACTGGCATTGCAAACACAAAGGGCAGCATGAGTGGTGAGTGTCAAATAACTGAGAATAGAATTAATAACATTTAGAAAAGAATGGAAACTATTCTCTGAGGTTCTCACTTGAGTAATGTAAGGATAATCTGACTTTTAAACATGAAATGAGAATTACATTTTGAAAGTTGTTTTATCTGGTTTGGGGATGTGAGAGGATCTTCAAATAATACTCTTTTATCCTCCAGATGAGGAGATTGAGGCTCAGAGAGACATTTGGCCCCCAGCTTGTTAGCAAATGGGCAGCCCCAGTATACACACACATTTCTGATCAAATATGCTTGTTCTATATTCCTGTCTCCTGAACTAATATTTATTATTGGATTTCATTTACTGCAATAAAATGCTCTTGATTTATTTTATATAAGGCATTACATTTCATTGTAGTAAATGCATAGAAGAAATAGAAAATCTCAGCTGCTTTCCTATTCTTAAGAAAAAAAAAAATACACTGAAGTCTTATTCTAAACTTTTTACACTGTTATAAAGGGGATTTATAATAGGTGTTTGCCGGGTTTCATTACCAGGTACTATATCAAGGGCAGCATTTTATGGCACATCCCTCCAATCTCATCTGTAGAAATTAAAGTAGCTAATGAATTTCCCATCGAGCTGCACATGCTATTACACTCATACAGCTCATGGAGTATAGGAAAAATCTTAATACTTAATTGTTCAACATTTAACCAAGGATAAAACACACTTTTATAGGTTTAATGTACTGAGATATTTTCTTCTCTTTCCCTTCTTTTTTAGGTATTTCCAAGGTGCCCAATTAAAAAGTACAGCTCATGCCCAATGGTATTTCTAGATGACAGCACAGTCTAACAGCTGAATTTTGGAACCACAATCCAATGGTGGGTAGAACAAGGTTGCCAAGGGCTGAGTGACAGACCTCCCGCTTATGCTGAAAGCATCTTACCTATACAAAAGTTCAGTCACCTGATTGTTTTTTTCAGTAATCAGGTTAAGAAACTGGTATCAATTATATATTGATTTCAAGGACCTAAATATGAGTTTTCAATTTCCATTTTACTCTTACAGTGAATAGAACAAGGGAATACCAGTTAGCAAATAAGAAATCCCCCCCCCCAAAGTATTGATCTTTATCTGATGCATTTCTGTTTTTAAGACATTGTTGACCATAATGAAAGGGAGAGGTACTTTTATTGGATGTTTCAATTAAAAAGTATTTCTTTATGACATATAGGCGTAACTCTTTGGAAGCTAGTCTTGGAAGAAGGAACTGTGTCTCCTACTGGTACCAGAACAAATCTGCATCAAAATTTAATTAGATTTTTGTCAGATTCGTCCCATCATACATTTTTCCTGCACTATTTCTGTATGAAAATTCACTTTTCCTTCCTACCCTCCAAAGTGGGGAGGGGAGAATGCATCTCATCAGTCTTAAGGAACAACTTTTCAAGCTAATTTCTTTGTGGATAAAATTTGTTCAACTGAGGTTTAATTTATTAGATATATGAAATTTAATTATATATATGTATAGATATATAAATACATCTTCAAGACACTATATCAATCCATACATATAAAAATCACAGCAGAAAGAAGTGAGAGAGGTGATGTTTTGGAAAGAGTCACAGTCAGGATTATACTTAAGCAAACATGAGCAGTGTTATGATGATGAAAACATTTATTAGTTTCTAGGAACACCACATAGTGCACATTTGGGATGAACTTTAAAAACATCCTTAGATGAAACTTCCAAGCTTATTTAAGAGAGAAAATAATACAGAGCTTTCTGACTCCCATTGGGGTTGTCCAAGGTACATTATCAATGTCTCTTTAGAATATGAGTGTTGATTTTCCAGAACACAGTTTGGGAAATACTCCCTAACAATGTTAATATTTTCACCTTTAATTGTATATTTCAGTCTTAAAATATAATTAGCTTATAAACTTAATTTTGTTTATAATGTACCAGTTGTTGTCTTTGTTTTGTGTGTGTGTGTGTGTGTTTATTTTTTGTTTTTTGCTATATTATCAGGAACTTCTACTTGAATTAAAAATAGCAAGTTCACAATTATAATAATACAACTTTCTTCTCTTACAGCAATAGTTGGATTCAAACTGTGTTTCAGCAAAAACTGAGCCCAGTCTCTCTCTAAAGTCCTGAGCTTTGGGACATATTCTAGTAATCACTGAATATTTTTATTCAGCCAAGACACTAAATCTAAGAGTTAAAAAAAAAACCACTCAACTTTGGCTGCATTTTGTAGCTTCTTATGAATGCAAAAGATTCTGATATTACAGTACATAATTCAAAGGTAGTTTTAAATATTAACCTTGCTCAGACAAGTAGATTTCATGCTTCTTTCTCCAAATTAGTCTAATTTTGAACATACAGTAAGTTTTATTTGCTCTTCTTAACTTTTAAAAATGATCCTTCAGTACATTCACTATTGGTGAAATAAAGGTTTACTGAGAAAATTAATAGAGCTAATTGGCTTTCAGGGATGATTTTGAAAAATGTTTATCATGGTACATTGGTCTCCATGGGGCAGACCTTACTAGAATCACTTAATGCAACTTTTTCAAAATATATGTCTTTAAATACATGTATGTCATACCCCCTCCCCACTCTCTCAATATCACAAGCCTTTTAATAAGCTGAGGAAACATGTGAGGCAATGATTATATGGACAAAATCATCCAAGGAGCCCTGGTTGATTTGTCTCAGTGGTTAGAGCATTGGCCAGAGGACCAAAGGGTTGCAGGTTTGATCCGCAGCCCAGTTGGGGTCATGGAGCAGGCAACCCATCAATGTGTCTCTCTCAACTAGATGTCTCTCTCTCTCCCTTCGCCTCTCCCTCCTTCCTTTCCACTCTTTCTAAAAATCAATGGAAAAATATCCTTGGATGAGGATTAACAAAACAAAACCAAAAAAAGCATCCAGGGAGATTCTTTTCTTAACCCTAGTCCATGGTTCCCAAACTTTGCCGCACATTGCAGTCACCTGGGGAGCTTTATAAACAGCCCCATGTCTTCCCAACGCCAGTTAAACCAGCACAACTTGAGCTGTAAGTGGGGCCATTTCGACATCTCCTCAGATGACCCCGACATGCAGACAAGCTTGGGAACCACTGGCTGGTTAGAGGAGAAAGGGACCTTCTCACTGTTGGCAGGACCTGGAGCAAGTCTATTTTAGGCCTTGGTTTTCTTATCTGTAAAAATAGGTTGTTGAATTAAATGCCATCTAAGGTTCACAGGAGTGGTCCTTTTCAGCCTATGTGCTTGGAGTTCTGTAACTTGAAAAACAATGTGAAGATGACTCTGAAGCACAACAGAAGGATCCACATTAGATGCTCACAGTGTTATAGGCCTTTTTACGGCTGTGCATATTCTATAGAGCTAGTCATAAAATTCATACTTGCCTTCTCTCAGTTCATTCGAGCTTCCTTTAGACGCTGAGGGCAAAGAGAAGACCTGTGTAACACCCGTGAGAAGCCCTGTGCTGCCTATCACGCTATATCAGTGAATGACCTAAAAATCCAGAAACTTGCACCGTAACCACATCTGCTTGTTAAAATGCCAGTGAAAGTGATTTGGAAATAAGTTGTATTACTATTACACCATGAAGTATGCTGCATCGTTAGCACTGCCTCTATCAGGAGAGCTAGACCGATTGATTTTGTGGGCTCCTATATTTGCAATTAAATCTTCTAATAATTATATAAAAGTGACCTTAAATCTCTTTTTTTTGTATAGAACACTTTTTTTACTTTTAGGAAAATGGGTGAGTGGTGGATAGTGAACTCAATCAATGGAAATGCAGGTCTTAACTTTTTTTAAAAGCACAAAAATTACTGTATGGCTTAAATTTAAGCATGTGTACAAATACATATATCGTGTACAGGATGAAAGGTTCTATGAGTAGAAGGACAAATGCCAAGGGAATATGTAGTAAGATGTACAGAGTGGGACAAAAATAAGTTTACAGTTGTGAGTATGTGAAACCGAGTCTATTTTTGTATTTATTAATTACTGCCTCGTTTTCCATACAAACTGTAAACCTACTTTTGCCCCACCATGTATTATAATAATCAACTGAGACATATCTTCTAACAGCTTATCACCTAGCATTTTGGTTCTCCTAGTTTTGCTAAAAGCAAAATAACTAAAACAAGGGGCAAAGTACCCATATGATACTGTTGTAAATGAGGATTTCAAGGCCATTGAGCAGCTGGGAAGGTCGTCCCTTTCCCCAACTCCCTTAAAAAATGTCTTCAGACCTAACATAAAAAATCAACCGTTACAATTTGTTTTTCTTCCACAGTGTGACCTTAGCCAAATATTATCGTATAAAGAACAGGTGAGTTTTAAAACCTGTCTTGTTATTCCAGCTAATAAATCTATAAGATATCATGTGTAAGTGTTAGGTAATAACTGTAGACATTTTTGGAGTAAGCTGTAGAGTGCTTTTATTACATGATTGAAGTGAATGATCTGTTCTTCTCTTAAGACTAATAACACAAGTTATTGAGGATCCCAAAGAGTATTTGTTTATGTGGGTTATATTGATATTTAATTGATGTGGGTTAGAAATTAAAGTTGAGAATTTAAAAATAAATCCATTGTATGTTTAAAGAGAGTTTTTATAGCCCTACTGACATTTTGAGCTACAAGATTCTTTTGTTGTGGTGGATTGCCTTTTGTTTTGCATTGTAGGATATTTTTAGGAGCATCCCTGACCCAAATCACTGGGTGCCAGTAGCATCCCCACCCCACATTAGCACAACAAAACAGTCTCCAACCATGGCCAAATGTTCCTAATGGGCCAGATCACCTCGATTTGGGAACCATAATGTTAACATAATTTTGTATGAAAAACAAGTGTTTTTCCACACCAAAATCTAAGTGGAAAGTGTGTCATTTATTTACATTTTTGCAAATATCCTTAATGTCTGGCCTAATAAAAGACACCTAATTTTTATGTTTACTCATTTTTAATTACTTCATGTTACTCCTTTGTTTTGAAGAAGTTATATAAAGAAGACCAAAAGTCCATAAGAAACAACCAATGGATGCATAAATAAGTGGAATAACAAATCCATCTCTCTCTCTCAAAAAAAAAGAAAAAAGAAGGTACACATTTCCCCAAATCCTTACTTTCAGCTCGATAGCTTGAATTGTGTCATTGGAAACAGATATATACTTTCTTTTTCTTGAAGTAGGAGGCTTGCTTTATATTTTTGAGCGAATGACAGTTGTACTATCAAATAAAGATGTTATTCTAAAAAAAAAAAGTGCCTTATTGTGCTCACAACTAAGTCATGAGTGCTTTTCCTTACCACAACCCCGCTTCAGTATTTGCAGTGTTCATGCATACTTTCCCCTTGTTCAGAACCTAGAATCAAGGATCAAGATTTCATGGTTTTATGCATAACCAATGGATATGGACAAACAAAGCTGGGGATGGGGTGAGCAGGATGGGGAGGAGGGTGTCAATCGGGAAAAAAAGGAGAAACATCTGTAACAAGAATATATTTTTAAAAAGAATTTATTAAAAGAAACATCTGTTGTATCTATAAAAAAAAAGATTTCACAGTTTGTTTTTACTGCTTTATCAAGGATGTTTTTAAGTAGAGCGGAGTTTCTTTTTCATCTGCAAGGGGCAGTGAAGAATAGAATGGCTACTAGACAGTGTGGTACCCCTGACTTCGTTCATGCACAGAAACCAGTTTTGATCACCTTTGTGGAGTTTTTTTAGTAAATTTTTATTAATTAATTTATTTTTGTTACAGATATTTCTCCTTTTCCCCTCCAGAAACCCTTCTCCCTACTCCGGCCAAGCATTGCTGTCTATAGTCCTTGGTTACGCCTACATGCATAAAAGTTTTTTGGTTTATCTCAACACAATGGAACACTATGCAGCTGTAAGAAAAAAAAAAGATCTCTTATCCTTTGAGACGACATGGAGGGACCTGAGAGTATTATGCTAAGTGAAATAAGCCAGTCAAAGAAAGACAAATACCACATGATCTCACTTATTTGTGGAATATAATGAACAGAACAAGCTGATGAACAAAATAAACCCAGAGATATAGAAAGGAGTACATTTTACCTTTGCTTTTATGCAACATTGCAAAAGTCAGTATAGAAGCAGGCAGTGCCTTAGTGTTCCAATAAAAATCGTTTTGATGTCATGGGCCTTTTGAAAAAAGGTCTAGGGGAACCTAATCCCAGAGGCCTGCAGAGCCACTGTTCAGCTGAGCAGAGTGTATTCATGTGGTGAACATTTCAATCAAAAGACTGGTCACTTTAAAAATAGAAAGGCACAGTTTTAACTCAAAGTATTTAAAATACACAGGAAAACCACAGAACTTATATGCATGTATGCATGACCAATGGACATGGACAACTAAGCCGGGGACAGGGTGGAGGGGGTGGGGTGGGGGGTGCCAATGGGGTAAAAAGGTAAAATATCTGTAACAAAAAAATAAATAAATATAAAATACACAGGAAGAAATACATAATAAGAATATAATTTAGAAAAAAAGGAAAAAACATGAATCTCATATTGCATGAATTAAAATTCTAAAGACATCATTGCCCAACACTACTGCTTTATAAAACATTCAATGTGAGATTAGAGGGATGGAAATATATTTGGTCTATTGCATTGCCTATAGGGATGATCAGTGCTTATGAAGGCAACTCTGGCTGGCTGTTGTACAAAATAAAAATAAAAATTCACAGAATGTAATGTGCTGAGTGAAAAGAAGCCAGGAAACCCTTTTACAGAATATAAGACAAGAAATTTGTAAAACCCCTTGGTTGAAAGTTAAGCTTCCCCCTGCTCCCAGATGATATGTTAAAAAGATATTAACAATTCACAAATTCTTTTTTAAAATGCATATTCCTATTTTAAAGAGTTGGGACTAGATCCTTTGACATTTTTGATGAAAGAACACATCCATTCACGGTGTCAGCTGTCAGCTTTATTTTTCTCTCATACAGTTGTGTTTATTTCATACTGATCTGCCTTGAATTTAACTACTAGAAGAAAATTACTCCCTGCAGCTTGAAGTCAAAATCATCTCCTTTCAAGTCTTCTCCCCAACTCTATGTTGTATCTAATTATTTTACAAAGAGTATTGCACTAGGGAAATACTGAGTCACAGCTGTATAATTAGTGAGCTATAAATGTGCCCCCAAATAAGTAAACATGTCTTTTTAGAATATACTTTTCAGTAGCTTCAAGCAATATAAATTTTTGTACACAAACCTAAAAGATATGTTAAGATCTCTATGCAGAAAATTAAACAACAATTTAAATTTTGAATCAATTAGCATGACAAAAAATGTTCCCATTTCCTTCTTAGGTGCTCTGTAGCCGTTTTGGGCTGTGACTGCTGTATCAGACTGCATAGCCTCTGGGTCTCATGGTTATAGGAGACTGAGAATATATTTTCAGATTTGATCGTGGAGACGTATGACCTGGCGATCAACAGGACCTTTTTTTTTCCTTTCTTTTCTTTTTTTTTTTGTGGTATGTGCCCCTTGCATGAGCCGAACCCAGGACTCTCTGATCCGCAGGCCGATGCTCAACTGCTGAGCCAAACTAGCCAGAGCATCAACAGGACTTTTGAGTCTAAAGATAGTTTATATTTAGATAGACTTCTGTAGGGGACAGGGGGAAGGAACATACATGAATTTTTTGAGGTGGTACCCAGTATTTTTCTTTAATAATGGGTGTGTATTGAATCCGTATTGTTTAGATCCATTATTCTATTTAAGAGACTGAAAGACATGTCACCCAATCAAAATCATTTCAGAGACAGGTGAACACAAGGAGGCTGCTTTCAGGAGAGTACATAAGTCTTTTTCTTCAGTGGATACTTATGTTGCATTTTTTCCTCTTTTCAGCAAGAAATAATTCCAAAGAATCCCTTCAAGCGCGACCCTGAACTGAAAATTATCTACACATTTGTCCGGACTCTCTTCCGTGCTGAACCCTCTCTGCTAAACGTGCGGTTGCGACTCTGGTAAGAGGGCTCTTCCGGAGAGCAGCTTTGCTGGCTCGTGCACAGGATACGGTCCTGCTTTTCGAACCAAAGCAGGTTCCTGAAATGATCGTCAGGACTTGAGAAACTGGTCAAAGGAAGTAAAATATACACATTCTAGCGAAATAGTCATTACGATTTAAAATGCTGCCATTGCTTTTCTCGTCACAAACAATTGCTATTGAAGACATCAGGAGAGATTTCGGATCGCTCCCTCTACACCTCAGGAGACATGTGTGCCTGACGTGCACACACTTACAGGCTGTGCTGGTCAGGTAGGAAGGAGGCAGTATCAAGCCGTCTGGCCCGCGGGCGGACTGACTCAGTGTAGGCCTCAGCTGAGTCCCGGCTGCGTTCCCCTAGATCCTCTGTTCCTTGGATGATGGGTGTTAGTCCATCCCTGCTGTCCTCTGTACCTGCCTGTGAAGCGCCCGGGATGAGAGCACAGTCGCACCTGGAAAGGCTTGGCTGGTTGCCTGCACAGCTGTGGCTGGGAGGACCTTTGTCTCATCCACACAGAATTTTTATGGGAAGATTTTTTTCATTTGAAATGAATTCTATTCTTGTGAGAAGTGGTTGGCATTTTATTACTCCTCCCTACAGTAGCAAACCTGAAGGGGAAAGTCAACTGCATGGTCTGAAAGGAAAGAATACTTGGGGCAATGCCTCCTCCTTTAGTAACCACCTCAAATTTGGGAGAGGCAGCTTGTGCTTCTGAGCAGAGGCCCCTCAACGGGCACCGGGTGAGACACGGGCCTTTTTCACGGAGCCACCAGCCATTTGGAGTGGTCAGCGCATGCTGGCGAAGGGCAGGGTGTGCTGCGTGTGGACAGCTGGGTAATGCAGGAGGGAGGGCGTCTGGGCTGAAGAGGGCGAGTTTTTGTGGACACATTAAGCTTGAGGTCCTGTGAGACAGCGGAGTGGCAATGTCCAGCAATCACTCAAATAGATGGAATTAGAGCATGAATCTGAGCTAGAGGTAGAGCATGCAGAGGGGGGAAAACGTGAATAAAAAGTGGATAGAAGATAGAATAATGAAAACAAGTCGGTATTCAGTAGACATTTATGGAACAAGCAACTTCTTGGCAGCACTGAGCATGAGGACCACACTTTCTTGAATCTGCCTATCTGGGCTTCTCTTTGATTATTCGCTGCTGGTTTTCCCAGCCCTCTAGCCACTCTGGGGGCTCTGTGCCTTCAACGCTCGGAGTCCTTACAGGTCTAGTGCTGAGGAGAGAGGGGAGAACAGGTGGGATCAAATTCTTGCCTTTATAGAGCTTATATTCTGGCGAGGAAGACATAAGTAATTTTTTAGTGAGTGTTTTTGAAAAGATGGCATTTCAGGTGGTGTAAATACCAAGAGGATGAGATGGGGGCAGTGATAAAGGGATCACAGGGGCTTGCTATTTAGATAGAAAGGTCAGAAAGAGCCTCTTTAAAGAGGAAGCATTTGGCCTTGGCCAAACACATTCATATTGGGGAAAACCTGTGGCAGACAGGGAAGGATACTTCAAAAAGAGGTCATTGTGAGAGGTGTTCTGCAGAAGTGGGATGGGATCGACTTCACCGAGAGAAGAGTTAACTTCAGTGAGGAGGGAAATGTCGATCCCACTGACACAGGAGGGCAAGTGATATAAACGAATGAGGAATGGCACCTGCCGAGTCCGCAGGTAAGGGTATCAGAAAGAAAGTTGAGAGATCGTCAGTGGTGAATAAGTGCCTCCAATTAGTCCCATCAAGCAGAGTTGAACCTTGTAAGGAGGTTCATCCTTAGGGCACCTGAGAATGCTAAGTTTTGAGGAATGGGTGCAAAATTTCACTAAGAACATGTAATGTTCAATAAGCATTTGTTTTGAAGAACACAGTTGAGTTTGGAGAACATTGGCAAATCTGAACTTTCAGACAGTAAACACTCTCCTTACAACTGAACTTTTTTCTTTTTGTCAAAGGGCATATATACTCTTTTGCAAAGCATCCTTGGTGGTAACAACAAATCACAACTTGTAACCCTTCACTCAGCTGTTAACTTTGCCCAGTTCTTTGTACAATAGACATTTAATACATGTGAAAGAAATCAGGAAACCTCACAAGCTACCTGGCAGATTAGAGGAGACTGTTCCTACCTTGAAGCTAACAGAATTTACTATGTTTCAGATTATGTAAGAGAGAGATGAATTTCACCAAATGATCATGGAGATGTGAAGATTAGGGGATATAAGAAGGACTATCCATTGTGCGCATGTGTGTTCCTTACAAAGGCACTAAGACGGGAACACTCTCAGCTGTACAGACCAGCCAGACGCACACCTGTTTGTACTGCCTGTCCTGCTGCACCACACAGCAGCCACTGAGAGGCACTCTTGACCACCAGTTTTTATCTTCCGCTTGTGCCACAATAGGACTAGTTACTGAGAAAGGACAAATGTTTTCAGCATCATCAGGGATTTATATATTCAAGTATTATGTAAAAATCACCATATAAACTCCAGCCAGGTATGAAACATTGCACGTGGTAGGCACTCAAGTATGTATTGCACAACTTGAATGGATACTGAGTCTGTTTATGCTGCCCTTCACACGTGGAAAGGTAATAACACAATGCATTTATTCAGGATGTCCTTTGCTAACACATCCGTTCATTCCTGTGACCAAAAACTGGGCTGAAAATTCACACGGACAAAGTAGGCAACAGAAGCATCTGATCTGCAGCTAAGAGTTGGCCTCTGGCTTTGGCTGGCCAAGCAGTCTCTGTAGAACCTAAATATGAAAGGAATTTCAAAAATGGGTGAAATCTGTCACTTCTAACCATTTGCATCACAGCACGTACACTGAACTAAAACCAAAGACCAGTGCTCTACTTTTGCAGGTTTACTTGGAAAGGCTTTTGACTTGTATGGATACTGACATTTGTCCTACTAACTGGAAGAGAATTCTTCTGGGAGTCACTACTCTTGCCTATGAGTTTTGGGATGAGCAGGCTCTGTGGAATGTGGACTTCTGCCAACTCATAAATAACATCATCACTGTCAAGGACATGTGAGTTTGTAAGCTTTTGGTAAACTCCCTAACCATTTCCCAGTACTTCATTGGCCCCCATAAAGTTTACATGTTAAGAACTATTTTTAAAGGTTGCATTGTGCAGAGACCTGAAATAGGCATAAAATTGTGTACATACTTCTTCCTTTCCACCTTTGGTATAACAACTCGTATCCCTCATCATTAATTAGTAGATATTAATATGTTATTGTTGTAATAATCTGCTTAGATATTTGAAATGTGTTCCTCTGGTGTTTTTACAAACATTTAAGTACCAGAACAACAGTATAGTAACTATCTTCGTGGCTTTCTTAAAGCCATCTACCAGTTCCAGCCTGTGTTTAAGGGGCATACACTGGCCTCTGAAATAAATGTTTGGCCATTGTTAAGGTTTTAGGGCCTCTAGACTACTGAGGAATTATAAAACCAGAGTCACATATTGTATATTTGCTCTTACTGGTCTTTCCCTCCTTTTCATTTGAAGTTCTTTTGTTTAAAAGAAAAAAAAATGAAAGAAAATTAGCCACATATAACAGTTTCTGATCCCTGTGCTCTCTCCTGACCTTTTAAGAAAATTGCACTTGTGTAAAAATAGGTCTGATGAGTTTGGGAAGCTCCCAAATGCAAGCAGTCAGAGAAGCATCACCGGGCATCACCCAGTGCCTGTCCCCTTGGAGAGTCTCCCGGGGCACTGAGCAGCCCCAGCATGTGTTGTGGGGCATAGGTTACCCATGAGGGCGCTCCTCGGAGATGGCACGTGAACAAGGAAGTGAAACTCCCGAGTTAGTGGGGGCTTTCGATCTGGCCACACTGACGGTGTGCAGGGCTCTGAGGGTGGTAGGCAGGATGGGCCAAAGAGGCATTTCGAGCAGACTCTCAGTGTGCCCACTTGACAGTGCAAATGTCTTTGTGGGTGGCATTTAAGGAAATGTGAAAAAACACCTCTTGATTGCATTGAACAGCAAGATCAAGATCATAACAGGAAATGGCCAGAGTTTGTTTTTTGTTACCTTTGCTCATTACTCTAAGGGGACTCATTCAGAATTACCAACGTGCGTATTTACAACTGAAGTAAACCTACTTGTCACTAAGCGAAGGGGCCAGTGTTTGTCAGTAGCTGTCAAAGGGGCTTTTGGTGAAAATGCGCACTTTGATAATAATAGTGTAAACTGAGTATTCATGGTGATCTTGCTGGATTAGCAAACAGTTTGACAGCAAATGATAAATGTGAAATAAATGGAAGTACTTTTGGAAGTTGCAGAAATTAAAGTGACTTTGATCACCACAGTCATCAGTCTTCAAAGTGGTCCCTTGAAGGAAGAAAAATTTGTCCTCATGAGCACTAGCCCTGTGATGATGGCAGCTACTCCTTTCAAAACCTGCCACTCAGCTGCTCGGGGCTCTGGCTGTAGCTACAACAGCAGAGAACAGGCAGGGAAAAGTGTGGGTGCTCAGTGTTTCATACACACTGGTTCCGCCCCCTGCTCTTGATTGCTATTTGGAATGGTCGCATTTTGAGTCTAAATTGAAAATTACTGTCTATCAGCTTTTCTTAAAACTTCCCAACATCTATGTGTCTTTTTAGAATATTATTTCCCTTCAAAAGAATAAGTTAAGTTGAGCAGCTGCTGTTCCAAAATTTTGCCTGTAAATGCTATGCGAATCAGCCATCTAGCCATAAAAAGTTTTTTTAAATACCCAGAAGATGCATATTCCATAGTCAAGCTTTTCTTCCATGATTAAACCTCTTTTAATCGTATGAAGGTACTGTATTTCTACACAGTTGAAATATGTTAGTGCAGAAAATATAAAAGGGATAGTAAAGTTTATTTATTCCTGTAGAATATTAAGTCCTGATTAGCTGATTTTCAAAACATTATCTGATTTACCCTTCTAACGACTTATGGCCATATGAATAGGAAAATAATTTTGGAAATAGGTTCTGCTGGGTTTAAAGTTCAACAAATAAGAAAACCTCATTTTGGCTCATATTCTGACTGCTTTCTACACATCAAGCTGTTGTTGACCTAACCATTGGATAAACTATCAAAGCTTTAAAACTAAGAAAACAAGTATGTTAGAATATAAGCCTCTTTATGATTGTTCTGATATTTATCATTTTTATATCATTAACTGTATCAAGGGATTACTGTGAAAATAGTACAATTGACTCAAGTTTTATGTTTGTTTTAAACACTTGGCAAGCAACAGCAGTATGTTTGCAGAGCACAGGACGGCTCCCAGTTAGCCTCTCCCACCGACTGAGCTTACCACTGTGGGTTTGTTCCCCTTGTCTGGCAAGGGGCAGGGGATGCTGAGCATCGCGGGACTGCATTCCCAACATGGGAGAAACACTGTGTTTGAGTCCAGGGCTCTCTCTTGGGTCATATCCTAAAGTGGCTTTAGTCCAGCCTGGACATCTGTCTTTACTCTTTCTGCCTTCCAGATTAAAAAGTGCCTCCTGTCCTGTCATAGCAACAATTTCTCACCCCTGTAAGTTTAAGGTGAACAGAAACTTGCATTATATCCCCTGATGTTTGTCACATACTCTGGGGTGGGGAAGGTCCCCTTTCCCATTGAATGTGGCTTATTTCTTTCTTTCTTTGTTTATTTATTGAGATGAATCCTTGTTGCCTGGAGTGCTGCCACATCAGCAATAATAGTGATGGCTCTAGATGGATTCATCTGTTGCCGTGGTGATGTGCCCACTTCTTTCGTTGGCACGTCTCTGCTTCAGTAGATCCCTTCCTATGATGGGCCTAGTGACCATGCCCGCAAGTGCTTCAGTGCTAAGAAACAGCACACATCATTCCTTTCGTCTGAACATGATCCTGGGGGATTGTGAGTGAGTGTGAGGTGTGAATCTACCAAGTGCTGAGATGCAGAACAGATCACAAATAGCTGCACTTTGTTTGAACATTGGGGCATTGATACAGCTGGGTAGCCTTTGTTTGTTTCCAAACAAAATAGAGGGTCATCTCAGTTGCTCAGAATGATCTTTTTTAAGATAGCCCAGCTGACTAAAATTGTCCTGTGTTTGTTTTGTCTCCTCCTCCTCCCCTAGGCATGAGATAGAAATGTATTTTTTACATTTAATTCACTTTAATATTAGTATTCCTGCCAGTACTTATGCCAGATATTACTTTGACCTTCAAACCTTAGCCCATAAACATGACCTGCTTGTTCTATTTGAACCTCTTTGCAAAGAAAGCACAGAACCCAGAAGTAAGGCTGTGGAATCACTAAGTGGGGTTTCCTGTCCATCACCTAAGCCAACATGTGTTAATAATCATATTAAGGCATAACTAGAAAAGTAGAAAGCTTTTTAAAATTAACACATTAAAGAAGAGCTTATTAACCCTTTCACATCATATTTCTGATGCCTTTTATGGTTTATACAAGGATTCCACATTATTTAAACAATTCTAGATCTTTTTTGTGACCATAATTCAGAATATTTTAAATCACATTTAATGTGTTAATGGTTTTCCATTTGGCCCTTACCCTTTCTTATAACCACACATTTTTTACAATTGTATAACTAATCGAATCTACAAACGTAATCCACTTCCCACTGTTAACTCAGTTTGCAAGTTCACATCTTTTTTACATATATCACATTTTAGTCCCATGAGTGTACTAGACAGAACATTAATGGCTAACATGAGAGACCTATACATGGAATGTATAGTGTGTGTTTCAAATCCTGGGTGTAGAAAGTATGGGGGTTTTAATGAAAATGGTAAAATACAGGGGATAAACTAATGTTTGTGGTTTATGACTTCTGTTGAGTATACAATAAAATTATTCACAACTGAAATGGACACTTTTAAAACACACACTTTCTGTGGTACCTTAGAATAAGATGTTTTTCTACCGTAATTAACATGCAAGTGAAATAGTTCCTTATGAGGCTTCAGTCATTAGACCTCTCCTACCTTCCAAAAAAGGACAGCACATGCCTGCCTCATTAAAGTTTGCTTAGCCCAAGTGTACATTTATTACATTTAAGGTACAAATGCACAAGCAACAGATGATATTAGGAGCCTGTCACGCCTTTGACATCTTTGAGAACCCAAGATTTAAATTAAGTCTAAATTCCCCTTCTCTGACAATCTAATCATAGCCCCCACGGGACTTACATTAGTGAATTAGCAGAAAGAGGCATGCCGAGAACTTGGCAGTGCAGACCTCAGCTACTCAAAGGGACAGTAACTATAATCTACATAAAGGACTGTGAAATGGGTGGCTTATCAGTGTGGCTTTTTTTAAATGGCTGGAACTCTTTTTTAAAGTGTACTTCCTTTGTATTTGGTTTCATTTCCGAGGCCATTTTCAGATACTGTAAAGAAAAAGACCTGTGCAGGGCTGCTGTAGAAAGATCTCTTAGTGCTGACAATTTTATTGGCATACAACACATCAAAGCCATGCTCTCTTAAGAAAGAAATGAGGGGGTGTAACATCATGAGACCCTCATGTACAAAAACTATAGAAATATCACCTCTCCTGCTCAAAAACAGTGGAAATAAGAAGTTAAACGGTTAAAGAAAATGAGAAATGTCCCACAAGCCTTGATACTGTGTGCTTGGGCCCCCCAGGAGTATACTTCTGCTTGAGACCCCTGCAGAAGTATAAATGCTACAGATTTATAAAACACCATTTAAAAGTTTAACTGAATTTCTCTTAAACTTATTTAGTTTTGTAAGTTGTAGTTATGAAGGTTTTAATTTTAATTTCCTATTTCAGCCCCCTGTTAAAGATGGCAAAGATTGACTAAAACAAAGAAGTTTAACTTTTAAATATTAAACATGAAATATCATCATTTCAGCCCTGATTGGATGAAACAAAAAATTCAATTTTAAATATTAAATATTTTGTTTCAGCTACAATGGGCTGGAAAGATATTAAATTTAGATAGGAAACTTTTTTGTTTGGGGCAACATTTGTATCTTCAAACGGGCAGCTGAAACAATGAAAATTAAAGGCTTAATATTTAAAATTTACAAAACTATATTAGTCGAAAAGAAATTTCAACTTTCACACGATGTTGTGTAAGTCTGTAGCATTTATACTTCTACAAGTGCCAAAGCTTAGAATCGCAGAGACTTTCAGGGAACACCTTGTATTTTCATAGACTTTCCTCTTCTAAAAAGAGCCCTATGAGGTGGAGATCCAGGAGGCAGCAGGGTAGGTGAAGTCAGCTCTTCCCAGGACCAATCTGAAATCACAACCGAAATACAGGGCAGTGAGTTGCAACCTTTTCATCTCATGGCACACAAACTAATTACGAATGCTCTGCAACACACCAAAAAATATATACTCTGCCTATCTGACAAAAAACACAGAAACAAAAGCCAAATGAAAGGACAAAAGACCTCTACCAAAGATTAGATAAATGAGGTGCAGTTAAGCAAGTTAACAGAAATAGAATTCAGAGCCATGATCTTGAGGAAGCTCAAGAGCATGTGTAAGGGAATGAGCACCATGAGTAAAGACATAGAAATGTTGAAAATCAACCAGTTGGAAATTAAAAACCACCAAGAAGAAATGAAGAATGACATATCAGATAAAGAACACTTTGGAAGGACTAAATAGCAGAGTAGAGGAAGCTGAGGACCGAAACAGTGAATGAGAAGATAGGGTACAAAAAATTAACCAATCAAAAAACCAAAAGGAAAAAACAATTAAAAAACAGGAAGACAGCTTAAGAAAAATGTGGGACAACTAGAACGTAATAACATTCGCATCATAGAAGTTCCCGAAGAACAAGAAAATGAGCAAGGGTTGGAGAATATATGTGAAGAAATAATGACAGAAAACTTCCCTAATATGGTGAAGGAAGAAGGCATTCAAGTTCAAAAAGCACAGAGAGCCCCACGTAAGAAGAACTCAAACAGGCAAACACCAAGACACATAGTAATTAAAATGCCAAATATTAAAGACAAAGAGAGAATAATAAAAGCAGCAGGACATAAGCAACAGGTTACCTAAAAAGGAAACCCCATAAGGCTCTCAGTTGACTTCTCAACAAAAACACTACAGGCCAGAAGGGAATGGCATGAGGTAATCAAGATCATGAAAAACAAGGATCTGAATCCAAACTACTCTATCCAGCAAGGCTATCATTCAAAATAGAAGGTCAAATAAAGAGCTTCCCAGACAAAGGAAAAAAAGGCTAAGGGAATACATTAGCACCAAACCAGCACTGCAAGAAATGTTAAAAGCACTGCTGTAATTAGCAGGAGAAATAGGAACAAAAATAGAACCACACTAAACAAAAATGGCAATAAATAAATACATATCAATAATCACCTTAAATGTAAATGGATTGAATGCGCCAATAAAAAGACACAGAGTAGCTGTTTGGATAAGAAAGCATGACTCACCTATATGTTGTTTACAAGAGACCCACCTCACAACAAAACACTCACATAGGTTGAAAGTGAAGGAATGAAAAAAAAAATCTTCCAAGCAAATGGAAAGGAAAAAAAAAAAGCAGGGGTAGCAATATTCAAATTTGATAAATTAGATCTCAAAATGAAGACCATAACTAGAGACAAAAAAGGCCACTACATAATATTGAAAGGATCTATCCAACAGGAAGATATAACTTTAGTAAACATATATGCACCTAAAATAGGAGCACCAAAATATATTAAAAATCTTCTAGAGGACTTCAAAGGAGAAATCAACAGCAATAAAATCATAGCAGGGGACTTCAACACCCCACTAACATCACTGGATAAATCCTCTTGACAAAAAGGTAGCTGGAAACAGAAACTCTAAATGAAGTACTAGACCAAATGGATTTAATAGATATCTACAGAGAATTACACCCCAAGACTGAAGAATTCACATTCTTCTCAAGTGCACATGGAACATGTTAGGACACAAACTAAGTCTCCACAAGTTCAAGAAGATTGAAATCATATCAAACATCTCAGATGACAATGGCATGAAACTAGAAATCAATTGCAACAAGAACATGCAAAGATATTTGAACACATGGAAGCTAAATAGCATGATATTAAATAACGAAAGGGTCAATGAGGAGATCAAGAAAGAAATTAAAAACTTCCTGGAATCCATTGAAAATGAACACACAACAACACAAAACCTATGGGATACAGTGAAAGCAGTTCTGAGAGGGAAGTTTATAGAACAACAGGCCTACTTCAAGAAGCAAGAAAAATCTCTAATGGACTACTTAAGGTCACAACTTAAAGAACTAGAAAGTAAACAAAAAGAAAACCCTAGAGCAAGTAGAAGGAAAGAAATAGTAAAGATCAGAGCAAAAATAAATGACATAGAGTCCAAAAAAAAAATTCAAAGGATCAATGAAACAAAGAGCTGGTTTTTCGAAAAGATAAACAAGGTTGATGGACCCTTAGCTAGACTCACCAAGAAACAAAGAGAGAGAACCCAAATATGAAAATCAGAAATGAAAGAGGAGAAGTAACAACTGACACCACAGAAATACAAAAGATCGTCAACAACTACTATGAACAATTATACGGCAACAAATTCAACAATCTAAGCGAAATGGAAAAAATTCTAGAAACACATAGTCTCCCAAAACTGGACCAGAAAGATATAGAAAACTTGAACAGACCAATAACAACAGAAGAAATTGAAGATGAAATCAAGACTCTCCCAGCAAACAAAAGCCCAGACCCAAATGGCTACACGGAGGAGTTTTACCGAACATTCAAAGAAGAACTAACACGCATTCTGCTCAAAATATTTCAAAAAATTCAAAAAGAAGGAAGACTTCCAAACTCGTTTTATGAGGCCAGCATAATTCTAATTCCAAAACCAAGAAAAGACATTACAAAGAAAGAAAACTACAGGCCAATATTCCTGATGAACATAGACACCAAAATCCTGAACAAAATACTAGCAAATCAGATCCAGCAACACATCAAAAAAATTATCCACCATGACCAAGTGGGATTCATCCCAGGGATGCAAGGCTGGTACAATATTCGCAAATCAACAAATGTGATACATCACATAAACAAAATGAAAAATAAAAACCACATGATCATATCAATAGATACCAAAAAAGCCTTCGACAATATCCAGCATCCATTTCTGATAAAAATGCTCAGCAGTGTGGGAATAGATGGATCATATCTCGACATAATAAAGGCCATATATGAAAGGCCTACAGCCAACATCATACTCAATGGGCAGAAACTAAAAGCATTTTCCTTAAGAACAGGAACAAGGCCGGATGCCCACTTTCACCACTCTTATTTAACATAGCACTGGAAGTCTAGCTACAGCAATTAGACAGGAAGAAAAAATAAAAGGGATCCAAAATGGAAAGGAGGAAGTGAAACTGTCATTATTTGCAGATGACATGATACTATATGTAGAAAACCCCAAAGACTCCATCAAAAATTTACCAGACTTAATAAATTTTGCAAAGTAGCAGGATACAAAATTAACGTCAAGAAATCGATGGCATTCTTATACACCAAACAATGATAAACTCACAGAAAGAGAAACTAAGAAAACAATCCCATTTACTATTGTGGCAAAAAAAATTAAGATACATAGGAATAAACTTAACCAAAGAAATAAAGAACCTATTCGCAGAAATCTACAGGTCATTGAAAAAAGAAATAGAGGAAGATATAAAAAGTGGAAGCACATACCTTGTTCATGGATTGGAAGAATTAACATCATTAAAATGTCCATACTACCCAAAGCAATCTATAGATTCAATGCAATCCTCATAAAAATACCAATGACATACTTCACAGAACTTGAACAAATACTTCAAAAGTTCATATGGAACCAAAAAAGACCTTGAATAGCCACAACAATCTTGAAAAAAAAAGAACAAAGTAGGAGGGATCACATTACCAGATTTTAGGTTATACTACAAAGCCACAGTAATCAAAACAGCCTGGTACTGGCACAAGAACAGGTATATAAACTAGTGGAACAGAACAGAGAACCCAGAAATGGACCCAAGGCAATATGCGCAGTTAATATTTGACAAAGGTGGCAAGAGCATACAGTGGAGTAAAGACAGCCTCTTTAATAAATGGTGTTGGAAATATTGGACAGCTACATGCAAAAAAATGAAACTAGACCATCAACTTACACCCTACACAAGAATAAACTCAAAATGGATAAAAGACTTAAATGTGACTCATAAACCCATAAAAAATTTAGAAGAAAATGTAGGCAACAAAATTTCAGACATCATATGCAGCAGAATTTTCACTGACACATCCCCTAAGGCAACAGAAACAAAGGAAAAAATGAACACATGGGACTACATCAAACTCAAAAGCTTCTGCACAGCAAAAGATACAATCATCAAAATGGAAAGCCATTCACTGGGTGGGAGAGCATAATTGCCAATGATATATCAGATAAAGGGTTAATTTCCAATATATAGAGAGTGCTCATACAACTCAAC